GCGGAATATCTCTGCTCGGTGCATTCCGGTGGAAACCGCACGACAAAAAGTTCATTAACTTTGTTCTCGTTTCCAGGATAGAGTGCTCGCAGAGTCGGGGCAGCAACGACGAGCATAGGAAGATCGTCGTCGCGTACCTCTTCACACTCGTGGGAAAGCGGGATCGGTGGTGCCTCTTTCCATTCGTTCGAACGACGAGATGGTCGAGAATGACTCTTCGAAGAGAACGCTCTGCGGATTTTTTTACGAGAGGCCAGGTTCGGCCGGTCGAGGGTTTCATGGCGCATCGACACAAAGGTGAGTGCTAATTATATTCTTTCTCGAGTGCCGCGTGAACGAGTGGTAATCGCTAATTAGTAGCTCGCTTCCTGAAAGCCTCCACGAGGGAAAGCTAAAGCTGCGCCAGGAATTCGAAATCTGATCGCGTTTTTCCTCGATCTCCTCCCGTCTACTACACGCTTACGAAAAGTGCAGAACATTTTTCTTTTCTTTTTTCTTTTTTTCTTTTTTTTTTTTTTTCAAACTTTGAATATTTCGTGTCGCGTTACAATTGTACCGATTCGTCGTTCGCGGGTAATCGCGATGTATGCGTGAAACGAGCCAGTACACGGATAGAACTTGCGGGTTTTCTGTGGCTTTCGAGCCACGCTTGTAAAACGTGCCGTGGTTGTAGAACGTGCGACGAATTTCCACGAATTTTCACTTCATGTCGTACTTCGTCGCCGTTGCGTCGCGATCAACACGCAACAACGCGGAATGAATTTCTCGGGATGAAAAATCGAATTAATTCGCCAAACGTCAAAAATTTCGTTGTTTTTTTCTTCCTTTTTCTTTTCGCCATTTGCATCCCTGCTGGTACTTGTAGGGCTGCGGAAACGCTGCAGGGTAATACACATCCCATTTATCGGATCCTACAGATTGCGTAAGAGTATTTAATGAGCTAGGCAAGTCCGTGGGTTACCGGTGGCTCGCTTAGCTGCCTCGCCAAAGACACGATCGATCGATGCGGTTCTACTTTCGTCGACTCTGCGTGGACTTTCGTCGATCTGCGTTTTTCGCTATTTGTACCATGGTACCACAGTATCTCTGTTATTGGATCATTAGTTGCGTAATCCCCTGCGTCGGGTTCATTAAGCAGAGTCGCCAAGCTAATAAGTCGTGTTTAGCGACAGGTTTTACCTCTGGCGAGTTGCTCGCTTTCCACTCAATTCGTTTACGTTTCCGCGATCGATTCAGTTCGATTCGAGGCAAAAGTGCTTTCTCCCGATTCGATTCCGTACGCGAATGACTCGCGAGAAAAGAGAAGCTGGTAGAGTAGAGAGTAGAGAGGAGAGAGGAAAGAGATGTAGGATAGTACAGAGGGAAGGGCGGAGGTGAGTAACGAGAGGATTCGCGTCGTTGGCCAATTCATTTATTCCTGGTGGGTCGGCGCTCGTCTGGCATAATCCGTCGATTTGTCGGCGCGGCGTGTCTCGTGTAATGCTGCTTCTTGCCGCTTCTTGCCGCTTGTAATCGAAGAGGAAAAGGGAAAGGGAAAGGGAGAAAGGGTAAGGATGAAAGAGAGAGAGAGAGAGAGAGAGAGAGAGAGAGAGACGGCAAGACTGGAGCGAGAGGGCGACGCGTCGCTGACTATATGTGAACAAACGGGCGTAAGAAACTCGGGTTGATCCACGATGTCCACACGATGGTTCTGTTTCTCTGCTCATATGCGATACGACGGTGTTCCTCCGCTTCCTCCCCGTTTTCTCAGTGGTCTCTCGCGGGCGAGCGTCGCGCACCTTTGTTCCCTCTCCTTCTGCTTCTTCCTTTTCCTCGTCGTTGCTCGTCGAGCGGTGCAGGTTTATCGGTACGACAGGGCGTTAAATTATTGATGCCCGACTGCGCGTCGCTCGCGAGAAGACGAACGAGAAGAAAAGAAGAAGGGCAGGCAGAGAGGTAAGGACGGGTCCCGTGATTTCAGAAAAAGCTTTCCGTGCCACTCGGTCCATCGGTTCTTTCTCTCGGGCCGTCTTCGTTCTCGCGCCGGTCCGCGGACGCGCGAGTCACGTTCTCTCTCTCTCTCTCTCTCTCTCTCTCTCTCTCT